AAAAAAAAAAAAAAGAATTTTTTTTTAAAAAAAAAAATTGTTGTAAAAACCGATACTTTTTTTTTAATCATTTTATTAAATATTGATTTTTACCATTTTTATATTTATAAATATTTATAAATAAAAGTTAAAAATTTTTTTAAAAAAAGAAAGTCGCTAAATTTACTTTTTTTTTATTTTATTTTATTTTTTTTTTTTTTCATCGATTATCAAAAATTTCTATGTTAAAATTTAAATAATTCTGACCAGCATTATGATTTATTCTGAAGAAACTGATGAATAAATCACGTGATATTTGGGAGAAAGGTATATTGGATTTTTTTTTTATTTTTAATTTTGAGAATAATTTGAATAATTTCCAAAACTTTTTATTATATCCTTGATTAATAAAGATTTATTTTGCTTTCAGCGATCATATTATACGCAGAAAGAAAAACACATAACACACGAAAAAAAATATTACATTGTATGCGAGACACTAAGTGACGGACTAAATGGTCAGATTTTTTTTTTAAAATGAGGGGATTGGTCTAAAACCTAAGTTCTTTTAGTGTTTTTTCCGTTAATGATAAACCTGAACCTTTTGTGTTTAAGTACTGTAATGCAATAATACGTGACGAACTGACGATATTGTCGTTATTTAAAAAATAATTAAATACGCCGGGTCTAAATGTTAGTACTAGAAAAATTTAACATATGAATAATTTAAATTTAATTTATTATAATTTTTGAATCTGATGATTTTTAGGAAATTAAATAAATCCACTTATTACATATTTGATATATTGAGACGAGTATTTTATATGGGCGGACGCAAAAGAGGGGTCTTTTAATCAGTGTTATACGGTATATATGCTATACGGTATATATATTATTATCATTGAAGACAGTTATTGAGATTTGAATAATCTTTTTTAGAAAAGAAAGGCATTATAACGAAAGGGAACAATAATTCAGAATATTTTTGCAGAATTTGGAAAGAGATTTATCAAATTTTGTACGAATACTCTCGAATACTCCATAACAAGAATTTAGAGTTGTGACTTGTGAAGGTATGAGAATGAGTCCATTTTTAATAAGAATAACGTATTACAGTTCAATGTTTGAATATTTGATTTAATTAGTCCATCCCCAGCGCAACGCGTTAGATTCAACTTTCTGTATAGCATTTGGTACTCATATTGTATTTTGGTAGCATTGATACTCATATTGGTACTTTGGTAATAAAATTATATACAATAGGTAATCTAATAAATCTCGCTTTTAGAATAGACTTTAAAAAAGAAGGAAAAAATGGTAAAGAAATTTATGAAAATTATAATTATTGATTAAAATTTAACAAATCAGGGTATCAGACCATCTTTAATATTAACTGAAATAACGTTATGAAATATATAATAAATTCACTTTTTTCTCATGCTTATTTATAATAATTTTTTTAATAAAAGAAAGCGTTTTATTGTTACTATCTCTATTATTATCTTTACCACCTTTACCATCAAACGTTCTACATAGGTGTTCTACATAAATGTTTTAAAACAATATTCTACGTACCTTTTTGAAAAAATGTACGAAATGATCAATAATTTAGATAAAAGACAATCAAATGATTTTAATAATTAAATTTTTGGATGTGTTTTAAGAAAAAATTAATATTTAACTTAAACAATTTCTCTCGTTGCGCTTTATAGATCAACACCTTTATGTATTGATCCAATATCTGGCGACTTTAGTATTCGATTTGGAACTTTATGTATATTATATTGTTCCCACAGTACAAACAAATTTTTATTGACTCCTAATGCATAACAACCTTTGGGTGCGCAATCATCACGCTATTTTAGATATTAGTTCTATAGTCGGTGTTGAATCATCAAGTTTCTTGGTAGCAACAATCATATGTTCACATTCTTGGGGATAGTACCCTAGTTTTAAGTTTTATGTAAATTCACAAAATTCTACGTGAATCTTTTGTTCAGCCAGAATATTAAATTAACTACTTCAACAGTTTAATTACTTTAACGGTTAATTACTTCAATTACTTCAATAGTTCGGCCAAACAATCAAACAACCAGTACGAACACGAACACCCTAAGAAATAAACAATTGGTTTACCAAATCAATATTTTTATTCGATAAAAAAAATAATGTTTCACATTTTTAAATAAATCGATGAAATTTATTAAAATAATTATCTTTTTTTGTCTTTATTCATTTTTGATCTCTGAATTTCGTACGTATCACAAAATTTCAACAAGTAGCAACAAGTTATCAAGTTCTGATTGATCCATAAAAAAAAAAAAAATCATGTGATAGTTTACTAATCACCAATTGAAATAAAAAAAAAAGAACTTTCCTCTTCTTCCCCTTTATATTAAATAATTTATGGAATCATTGTGGGAGTATAATTTCATGGGGTTAATGTACAAGTACAATGTAATAAAAAAGTTATATTCTCGGAAGTCTCCATTAAAAGTTATAAAAAGAAGTCTTAGAATCAAAAGATTGTAATAGTCACTAAAAAGGGAATGTTTCAATGATTTTGGTGTGACCAGTGTCATGGTTCTTTTTTTTTGGTGTGACAAGACGCATGTTATGACTTATGACTCAGTCCTCATTAGTTCACGTGATTCATTTTTTTTCGCCACATTTTTATTGCTTAATAATTCATTTATTAATTGGTGGCAAACATTGCTATTGTTTAATAAAAAAAAAATAAGGGATAAAGTAAAAGGGATAAAGTAAAGGGGTTAAAGTAAAAAGATTGTTAAAAAAAAAACTAAAATGGCATAAATTGATGAGCCACTTAGATTTAGAGGGATGAACTTCTCTAACACCTAATATGCGCTATGAAAGTTTAAAATGTGTTTCATTCAATTTTTTTTTTTTTTTTTTTT